AAGTTTAAGGCTAAATAGTGTTAATGTGACTGAGTCCCAAATTCATATATTTTGTTATGTAACCCCCGGGACATAGATAGTCCCACAATTATTTAAAACACGTAAATCGTGACACTTTGTTTTATAAAAACCACGCTTAACGTGACAATATTATTAAATTAAATACTTAATACAAATAAATATAACAATAATAATGCGTTCTTAATAAAGATTATAATTAGTTAAAAAAATTATATAAAAATAAAAAGCATTAGAATATAACAAAACACAATTTTCAATTTTCAATTTTCAAGAACATGTAAAAACACACATTGACAGATGAAATGTAGAATTAACAAACGAATTGTAAATTATGACAAAAAAAAAAAGATTAAAAGCAATGAACAATTTTTGATGACAACAGGAAAGCATGAAAATGATTACACTTATTTGCTTAAATTTGATGTTTTTTTTAATTTTTATTTTTTTAGAGATTACTTTAGGTTTAATTTTTATTTAGATGTTTTAGTTTAATTCAATTAAGTCATGAATATTTTGTCGACCAGTATTTATCAAAAAATTTTTGAAGATCTTTTTAATGTAGGATAAGGAATTTATTTTTCTTGTATGGATTTTATAGATTTCTGACAGAAAATTGTATATTTTAGGAGCTAAGAAGGTAAAACATCTTTGTCCTATAGTTTTTTTTAATAACGGGGTCTTAACAAATAATGACGATTTTTGACGAGTATCATACTTGTGATCAATTCCATGTAATAAGATTTCCTTATTTTTATATGTAAAAATTAAAACTGCATGGCAATATAACTGACGAATATCAAGCAAATTGGCCTCCTGAAAAAGTAGGTCTGTGGAAAAATGAAAAGGTTTTCTTAATAATAATTTTAGAAATCGTTTTTGGAGCATTTCCATACTCTTTAAGTGAACTTGGTACAACCCACCCCATACAAGTATACCATATTGTAGCCTTGATTCAATGAGTGTATAATAAATAGTTTTTAAGTAATGAACACTTAAAATGGTACTTAAGTATTTAAATTTATAAAGTAAACTTCTTAGTGTTTTTGTTATATTTTGTACATGTTTGTCCTACTTTAAATTACAATCTATCGTAATGCCAAGATACTTAATATCATTAGCTTTTTTTATTATTGTATCCTTGTTATTTATATTGATTGTAATTAATTGATAATCGGCCATACTGTTATTGTAAGCAGCAAAGGGAATAAAAAATGTTTTTTCAAAATTAACAGTTAGTAAGTTGTGACTAAACCATTCTATAATTTTTTGCATATCATATTCAATTTTTTTTTGTAAATTATCCCATGTTTTACTGCTATAAATGATGGCAGTATCGTCAGCGAAACATAATATCTCACCAGATGTTTCTAAATTGAGTAGGCTATTTACGTATAAGGAAAACAGCAACGGTCCTAAAATAGTTCCCTGAGGTACCCCGTACTCAATATGTAAAACATCACTGTAACAATTCTTGGTTTTTACCGTTTGTGTTCTTTCTTTAAGGTAGCTTGTCATTAATTTGTGTGGTATACCCCTGATACCAAGATCATCCAAGACATCTAACAATTGAGCGTGTGACACAGTGTCAAATGCCTTGGCAAGGTCTAAAAATATGGTAATTGTAGGAATACTCTTATCTACCAAATTATAGATTTTTGATGTTAGTGTTTTTATAGCATCTACTGTAGACACACTTTTTCTAAATCCATATTGGTTACTCGATATAAGGTTGTATCTATCTATAAAATTGTTCAGTCTTTTATTTAGAGCTGATTCAAATATTTTAGCTAAGCAAGTAATTAAGGAAATCGGTCTGTAGTTAGAAGTTTATGGTCACCTTTTTTGTAAACTGGAATTACAATAGATTGCTTAAAGAGTGAGGGACATATTCCAGTTTGAAAAATTCTATTAATTAAATTAAATCCTTGCATTTATTTGCAGGAATAATAATGGTGTTTGTCATAGTTTATCTCAGTATTTGCAAAGTTGTTATTTAGCAAGCGTATGTATGTAAAAACGATAGTTACAAAAATGCACTGCCTAAAGGTGTAAAAATAGGTGTTAAAATAGATTAATCTACTTTGTACACATTTTATACGTTTTTTGTTTTGTTACAAGTCATTTTTTATTTAGAGATTTACTATTAGAAATGTTTCGGGAAATATTGCAACATCAATATATTTCAATTATTAGGTGTTCACCCTGTATATAAAAATACGAACCTCTCTGCAATGCATTATATCCTTTAGAAGATAATGCGTTAAAAAAAAACGTAGTGATGATGTCGTGTCGGGTCCATATACTCGTATGTTCCCTCGTCCTAATATTAATAATTATAACAATGGTTAAACCGCAAATATACGTCTGCACGCTTGGCTGTTCGTACAATGTACAGGCGATAATACAACAATAGAAAGCACCGCGAAAATCCGTCAAGTAAATACAACAGACTGGCATAATGTATGTAGTCAAACAAAAAAAAAGTATGAAATAGTGAGAACTGCAAACATTGTACCAGCGCATTACTGACACATTTTTCAAAACGAATTTAGGAGGATATTACCGTATGGATATACGAAATCTCTGTCTCTCTCTATCGTTGCCTTTTACCTTTGCTCTGTGGCCGTGATACTAGAGCGTGTTTATTTTAGACTTGACAGTTGTTTGAGTCCTAAATGATGGATCGCCTGGTGCGGCTTATCCGCATCACCCGAAAACCATTGAGTTCAGTTCAACCCTTTTTGTTTGAGATGGATCACTACTAGAAACATATAAGGATACATTTTTATAAGGATCCTTTTCTTTGTGCATGATGAATTTTCTTATACGACTTTTGGAGAAAAAGGATTTAATTATCTTAACCTTAATAACCAACAAATAATTTTAAAGAAAATTACGCTGTTATGGAATTTAAAAGGAGAAGGCTGTGTCATGTAATTTCTAAAACCCACTCATTTATTAAACAATTATAATTTTATAATGGCCAACTTCTTTCAAAAATAAACTTTATTTAAGAGTGGACAATAATCTAACATTTGTAGGGTTGCCAGACGTCACGCTTTCGGCGTGATTGCCACGCTTTTTGACTTGCCTGTACGCTTTTTGACTTGCCTGTATGCTTTTTGACTTGCCTGTATGCTTTTTATGCAAATTCCACGCTTTTTAAAATCCGCAGAGGAATCGAATTTATACAAAAATAGACAAATATCCGGGTAAAATACCCTCGTTTTTACGAAAAATTATCTGAGTAACCTTTTTTATAAATGTTCACAAAAAATGGACCTGGTTATATAGAAATGCTCCACTCTTTTTACAAAAAATAAGCTGAGGACCTTTTTTGTTTAGAAATGTTCACAAAAAATGGACGTGATTATATAAAAATGCTCTATCGTCATGGTTGCGTCACTTCCGGAAATGTGGCAACCCTAAACATTTGGAGTATCTAAAATAAGTTTTTAAAGAAACGACTAATTTCCATTGATGATATTGTTAAACTGACAAATTCAAACTGTATAAACGTATGGACAATAAAAAGCTTGTTTAGACGTGTTTCTTGATCTAACAAAAGCTTTTAATACCTTTAGGGGCGATTTCTCCATTGGTTCATTTGTGCAGTATACACCCAGTTAAATTTCATAAAAACATATCAATTTAAAATCACATAAGTATATAATATAAAAATATAAATTCAATTTTAACATTTTTATTACTTTCGTACATGTTAATCTCAATTTCTTTATGCCACTGTTGGTGCACTATGCTTTTTAAGCACCACAGGTTTTCGCAAATGGCTATAGTTAAAAAGAGAGGTCAACAGATCCATGAAACAAACAATGTGACTACTTAAAAACCTCGCAATTTTGTGCATCGCACATAAACAAGGCATGATGTCAGAAAGTAGGGCGGGGAATACGAACCATTCCTATTATTGAAATATAATAAAGAGGAACTATGATGATACTTAAATTGTCTGCATTTTTGCGTTACACTTTTACGTCTTATAAATGCAATTTTTTTAAAATAGTGTGATTTAAATCATACGGTGTGGAACAGCCAAATGGAATTAATTCGATTGTAAATAAATGGGGGCGTTTTCGGAAAAACGCTTAGACACATCGATTGGCATTTTTAGTTACCCATTTAGTTTTAACAAAAAGTTTTTATCCAGGGTGTTCCATGTAACAGTGGCCACAACCAACTTTCTAACTTTATTATTTTAAATGCAACGCGCTATATTTTTTCAATTTTTGGATTCTTCAGAAAATTCTAGACATAATTAAGTACTACGTTCTCTACCTGTTTCGGAAATATTAAATGTTTTGAACTGAACTTACAAATGCTAAAAATGCTAAAAAATTGAACACATTTAAATTACGAAAAGCCGCCACTGCCTTTAATCGTAGGTTTTTGTTAGAACATTTAGAATACTGTGAAATCCGTGGTATAACTTATAGTCCGGGATCCCAGGCCCATTTTCACCCATGATTACTAACAAGCAGATTTTTTGTGAGTAGCTTCATTTTGACGACACGCCCAGCTTTTTACAACAACAATTTTGGTTAACGGTAGCTAACAGGGGTAGCAGGGGTGAAATATGTTGATTTGACAAATTTCAAAAATTTATTACTAACTGAATTTTTCTTTGTTAATTCCCAAGATAATTATCTAAATAAACCGTGGAAATATTTGTTCTACAAAATTTAAGGTTTTATCAAAGAGTCCCTCCTCTCCAACATGTATAATTAACAAGGCCATGAAAAATAAATACTAACCAGCTGATTTTTTTTCAATTGGTTAGTTAATATTAATATAATTTAACACCCACATTGTCCTACAAATTACGTGGTACATTATCCCGGTCGTCCAGTTCCATATTTGAAATTCATGAAATTAAAAATAAAATTGTTTTCTACATTTTGCTATTGTAGCTGAATCACACTATTACGCATGCGCTCAGCATAACAAATGTTTTTTTTTTAATGAACCACCACAATTACGCAAGATGTATGTCTATTTATTGGGATAAGTTGATACATATTGAAAGTACACATCCTGGGTTGCTTAATGATTGCCAAAAGAGTTTCATGGATATTCGAAGAACATTAAAACCATTTTTAAGAGCCCCGGTTGATTTAACACTTGAGCAAATAATCAATGCTGATGCCGCTTCAAAAGCTTCTGGAATTGTTAACGCAACAAACTCGTTCCCTGCAAGACCAAAATGGTCTATAACTCATTCATTACGTACGAGTGTTATATCAACAATAATGGAGTTTTGTGATATAAAATCAACAAATGACATAAGGAAAGATTTAAAGCAGTCAACAATTCAGAAATCTACCATAAACTTAGAATTAGTGATGCAACTAATAAAGCAGTACACCAATCCTTTTGCGTTAGAACTGTCAGAAGATCATCTTTACAATATATCGAAAGGTCAGTCAGTGAACGTTGAAATATTTCAATTTTTATCATCAGTTGAAATCGAGGGCGAAAAACAACGAGAGTTGCTGAGACTCGACTAACACCAGAGAGGTTTGATAAAGCCATTAAAAAAATAAAATAAATAATTTTGAGTACAACAATGCGCAAAAAATCAAAATTAATGGAAAAGTGAAAGAAGTTAAAATGCAAAGAGATGTTTTTGGTCGTCTACTTTGCGTCACTAAAAAATAAAATTGATATAGAAAAAGCATTAAGTTATCCTCTAGCTCCTATTCCATTTTCACCCTGTCATACTGATGGATCAATTTGCAAAACCCCCAAATCTGTTGTTATTATTGAATTACTACAATATCAAAGTGAAATCGTAAATCCTCCAGACGCAGTCATTCACCTAGTTGATGGATTTTATTTACTACATACGCTGAAGAACGTTCCAAACAGTTATGGTAAAATCTCTAAATATATATTGAATATACTTACATATAATAGAAAAGAAGTACATTATTAATGGAAGGAAAGACTATTAAACTTAATTATGATCAATGTTACACTTATGAGGTAACAAGAGAAAATAAAATAAAATAAAATAAAAGTTATTGATTATAACCTTTCTTCTTATCATGAAGAAGCTGACACCAAAATTGTGTACCACGTTTGTTAACTTAATTGTAACTATAATGTGCAGATACATTGTACAGACTCTGATATACCAATAATAATGTTGGCAAATTTTAAGTATTTAAAGGATCAAATTTAAATAATAATTGATTTAAGCACAAGTAAAAAAAAATGTACTTAAACATAAATTAAATTATCCTGTTCACTCGACATATGCCACATTTTTACAGGAAATGATTACAATCCTGCTTTCTTTCGTAAAAGAAAAGAAGAGACCTTTCAGTATTTTAAAGAAAAATAGAAATTTTCAAGATGCTTTTATTAAACTCCTACGAAGTCAAGATACAGCAATAACAACATCAAATTAGGTAATTCAAATTATTGAAGAGTATGTATGTAGAGTGTACTCGTTAAAAACAAAAAATGATATCAACAAATGAAGGTATGAGCTATTTGAAAAAGGATATAAATTAAGAAATGATAATGAAGAAGTATCTTAGGATATGATCCTTCCAGTTTGCCACCAACAAAATAAGAATTGCTGCAACAAATTAAAAGGACAGTATTCATCTCCTGTGTATAGTGTAATGCACATATACGGTGTCCCCCAAAAAATTGCCAAAAAATTATGAATGGACAATAATTGATAATAAATATCAATATTATTGGTTTGATGGTTCCCAAAGCCTATCTTTCGAAGAATTATCTTCTGACTTACAAGGTACCCTATTAATATTATTGTTATTTATTTATTAATTATTCCGCGATTTATTAATTGTTTTATGTTATTACAGAGTCAGATGTCACTAACGAACAAAGTGAAGAAGAGGGAGATGAAGATGAAACTGATGCTGTTGACGAAGATGATTTTTCCGATGAAGATTAATGTTTTTTTTTTGTTTATATAAAAAACCCAGATTTTTTTATGTAAATTGAAAAGTAAAGTTATTTTAATTTCAAGAAATATGTTGTCACTTTATGCTGTGTTACAAATAGGGAAACAAAAATGACAATTCTTGTAGGACTAGCAATACATACCTGTTTTTTTTTTAGATCATTGTTTTGTTTAGACAAAAAACATACTAATATATCACATAATACTTTGGTCCTACAGTTACTAATAAAAAAATGGCTTGTGGCATTGGCAGCTTTTGATCTTAGGACCAGGATGTCGTACCACGTAATTTGTAGGACAATGTGGGTGTTCAATTATATTCATATTAACTAATCAATAGAAAAAAAGTCAGCTGATTAGTAATTATTTTTCATGACCTTGTTAATTATATATGTTATACTCTTTGATAAAACTTTTTTTGGACAAATATTTCCTCGGTTTATTTAGATAATTATCTTGGGAATTAACAAAGAAAAATTCAGTTAGTAATAAATTTTTGAAATTCGTCAAATCAACATATTTCACCCCCGCCACCCCTGTTAGCTACCGTTTACCAAAATTGTAGTAAGGAAAAAAGTTGAGCGTCTCGTCAAAATGAAGCTACTCACAAAAAATCTGCTTCTTAGTAATCATGGGTGAAAATAAGCCTGGGATCCCGGACTATTAACAATTAATTGCATAGTACTTGGGAAATGGAAACAAAAATTTGCACTGAATAATGATATATATATATATATATATACAAGAAAGAAGTCTTTGCTGACTCGTTAGGAAATGAACTTGAGTTATTGGGTTTGCAGCAAAACGAAATGTGTACTCTTATAAGTTTATTCCAAGCTTTCGAATGTGAATACATTCATCTTCAGGGATCTAGAATATTTATTACAGGAAAATTAAAATTGAATAATGAACAATTAATGTTTACTTACTACTTAGTGAGATTGGTTCGTGAAAAAAATGTTGTTGATAAAATTAATGATGTGATTGAAACTGTACTAGATAAACATTGACATGAACATTTTAGACGATGCATTGAAAATTTTTAAAACATTTTAAAATTATATACACTTTTTGCAACTAACTAGTTTAGTCGAAAATTAATAAAAATTTTTTGAGGTTACAATTGACCATGTGCTCTTTTCAAGTTCATGGCGCATGCGTCTGTCATTAAGTCAATTTGCCAAAAAAGAAGAAGAATTTACTTTAACTGTGTAAGACTAATGAGGTCCTACAGCCAATTATTTCAAAACAGAAGGGGGTTGCATAAAGCTAATGAGACTTTATTACCAAACTACCCTTTCTTAATGGGAGGCGCACGTGTCATATACAATAGAACTGAACGACGGGTTGCTAAAAATTTAATTTTATAACTATTGATTTATGAATAAAATTATATGAAACATAGTTAAAGATTTTGTTAATGTCGACAAACATGTCTGTTTCCTGAATCCCTTATTGGTAAGTTCAATGAGTGGTCGGTTAATGGGGCCTACCACGTATTGAGACTTGTAGAGGGGGCAGTGGGGGGTTAATGAGACTCCCCATCTACAACCTCTGATTAGGAAAGAGACATACTTATCGTGCATTATGGTGGTTAGGTTGAATGTTATTGCAAATTAAATGTTATCAAATACGTTGAAGACTAATTTTGAAATTTGATAAACAGTTTTTCAGAAAAGCAAGCTTTCATAAGTTTTTTGATTAAAAATTTTTTTTAATTTTGAAGTTAGATTTCAGTTAAGTTAAGATTACTATTAATGTCAGTTAAGTTAGTATGTGAAGAAAAATTTTTATCCAAAAATAATAAATATGCAAAAATTTCACTGAGATGTTTTATATCTGATCTTTTGTTAATACATTCATTTTGAGCAATATGTGCCATTTCTAAGAAAAGTCTTTTGTGTAGCCGAGGCTCTTTTTCTAAAACTTTAATATCCTGGAAGTTGAAGGTATGATTATTTGAAATTGCATGATTTGCTAGTGCACATCGTTCTGGGTGTAGTCTGCAGTCGCTCTTGTGGGATGTTATGCGGTCTTTTAATGGTCTTGTAGTTTGACCTATGTATAGTAAATTGCAATCCACACAAGGGATACTGTAGACTACATCAGTCCAAGATAGTATTGGTGTTTTATCTTTAAGTTTTGAGAAAACGCTATTAACAGTGAGAACAGTTTTAGTTGCAAACTTTAAATTTGATATTGAATGAAACAAGTTAATGAGCCAGGCTCATTAACTTGTTTCATTCAATATCAAATTTAAAGTTTGCAACTAAAACTGTTCTCACTGTTAATAGCGTTTTCTCAAAACTTAAAGATAAAACACCAATACTATCTTGGACTGATGTAGTCTACAGTATCCCTTGTGTGGATTGCAATTTACTATACATAGGTCAAACTACAAGACCATTAAAAGACCGCATAACATCCCACAAGAGCGACTGCAGACTACACCCAGAACGATGTGCACTAGCAAATCATGCAATTTCAAATAATCATACCTTCAACTTCCAGGATATTAAAGTTTTAGAAAAAGAGCCTCGGCTACACAAAAGACTTTTCTTAGAAATGGCACATATTGCTCAAAATGAATGTATTAACAAAAGATCAGATATAAAACATCTCAGTGAAATTTTTGCATATTTATTATTTTTGGATAAAAATTTTTCTTCACATACTAACTTAACTGACATTAATAGTAATCTTAACTTAACTGAAATCTAACTTCAAAATTAAAAAAAATTTTTAATCAAAAAAACTTATGAAAGCTTGCTTTTCTGAAAAACTGTTTATCAAATTTCAAAATTAGTCTTCAACGTATTTGATAACATTTAATTTGCAATAACATTCAACCTAACCACCATAATGCACGATAAGTATGTCTCTTTCCTAATCAGAGGTTGTAGATGGGGAGTCTCATTAACCCCCCACTGCCCCCTCTACAAGTCTCAATACGTGGTAGGCCCCATTAACCGACCACTCATTGAACTTACCAATAAGGGATTCAGGAAACAGACATGTTTGTCGACATTAACAAAATCTTTAACTATGTTTCATATAATTTTATTCATAAATCAATAGTTATAAAATTAAATTTTTAGCAACCCGTCGTTCAGTTCTATTGTATATGACACGTGCGCCTCCCATTAAGAAAGGGTAGTTTGGTAATAAAGTCTCATTAGCTTTATGCAACCCCCTTCTGTTTTGAAATAATTGGCTGTAGGACCTCATTAGTCTTACACAGTTAAAGTAAATTCTTCTTCTTTTTTGGCAAATTGACTTAATGACAGACGCATGCGCCATGAACTTGAAAAGAGCACATGGTCAATTGTAACCTCAAAAAATTTTTATTAATTTTCGACTAAACTAGTTAGTTGCAAAAAGTGTATATAATTTTAAAATGTTTTAAAAATTTTCAATGCATCGTCTAAAATGTTCATGTCAATGTTTATCTAGTACAGTTTCAATCACATCATTAATTTTATCAACAACATTTTTTTCACGAACCAATCTCACTAAGTAGTAAGTAAACATTAATTGTTCATTATTCAATTTTAATTTTCCTGTAATAAATATTCTAGATCCCTGAAGATGAATGTATTCACATTCGAAAGCTTGGAATAAACTTATAAGAGTACACATTTCGTTTTGCTGCAAACCCAATAACTCAAGTTCATATATATATATATATATATATATATATATACATAAAGAGAGTACAGTTTCCTCAAGGATCCGTACCTGGCCCGCTACTCTTTATGCTACACATAAATCAACTATAACTAAATAAAAAGTTCTTATATTTAAAATTAAGAACTTTCAAAAACTGAACTGGGCAATGTTAATTTAAGAATGTCACGATTCAAATAAATATTTTTATTTCACTAAGACAAATTTCTGTGTGTATTGAGTTTGATCCGCCATCTTTTAGTTCAATCGTAGATAAAAATGTTCTAGGATTTTATTAATACCGTTTTTTTTTTTCTATTTTATCCACTATCAAAGTTTCGAGTTATTAAAAGCATTTCAATCTATCGGTCCCCGATCAATACACAACATTCGCCAGAAGAGACCTCAATATATCCCCAATAAAAAAGTTCATCATCGCTCTAACATCGAAAACAAACTCATCAAAGGCTCTAGTTAAATAAAGCAGAAAGTGAGTTTCGTTTCATCGACTCCGATGGATTTCAGACAAGTGTTTACAGGGTCAATATCAGGCCAGATTTTCAATTAGAAGACCGTATTTGCCGAGCTCTCGTTATCATTTCATATCGGAACAATTTCTCGATCTACAGTCAACGACAATCTTACGATTCTATCAATATTTGCTTTGGTTATTTGTCGGATATGATGACGATGACGTGACGTCGAGGTCTGGTCAAGAGTCGCGACCGACGTTCGATGTTTGCGGATTTTTATCATTCAAAGAACTGAAAACACAACCGATTTCAAATGTTTTCGATGTGGCAACTGTACTAATTATTTCATAATAATAATTTTATTCAAGAACTTTTAAAGGAGACTTTTAAGATTTTATAAGGATTTTAAAGGACTTTTAATGACTTTTAAGGACTTCTGGCGGTTTTTAAGGACTTTTAATGCCTATAAGGACATTTAGGACTTTTAAGGACTTTAAAATACTTTAAAGCACTTTTAAGTACTTTTAAGAATTTTTAAAGACTCTTAAGTTCATTTTCCTAATTCCAGCGGTTCAATATATTGACCAGCACTAGGGTAGGGGAAGAAATAAGCAGGGGGAAGTCGGGCAGTTTAAAATACTTGCTTTAAGTGTTTTATATCACTTATTATTTAGGCGTGACAGAGGAAGAGGAGGGGGAACTTGGAGAAGTGGTGGGTAAAGTAATTTTTTTTTCGTTTTGCACGATCCTCTATCCGTCCATGTAATATTGTCCATGTTGGTTTAAAATTAAAGGGTGCTTATGACCGCTATAAGAGTCAATCATATAATTCATAATTATTGTGAATCAATGGAGTTCATGTATCGAAGGTTGGGAAAAAATACTATTTCCAATTTTTTTTTAGTCGTCAATGGCCACTAAACAAAAATTACAAAAAGAAAGTCGGTTCACAAACAGAAGATAAAATAGTACTAAACTTTTTGTTTTTGCTTATTTGTATATAGATGCCCATATCTACGCTATTCATGAAATTATCTCAACAAATTCGAAATATACTCATTGAGACCTAATGGTATATTTATTACACGATATTAATCGGTTAGAATTAATCAATATACAATTATATGAAAATATCTACGACTTGTATTTTTTGAAATATATTATTAAATATTAAAAACTTTTTGTTTTAAATCACATTAAAATTACAATTCTTACTTTTACTATATTTTTAATAATAAAAATAATAATAATTAACACAAATTTTACATTTCAACAAACATATTTGTTAAACCAAATAAATTGTTAAAAATTAATAATTTTTTTTCCAAATGGAAAAAAAATGATAATTTAAAAACATATTCAACGAATTATGTTTTTTATTTTTTTACTCAAATCTTTTTTTTGTCTCCTCTGAAGATTATCTCCAATTTCTTTTGATTTATTACTTATTATTGATCTGGCCTAGATATTTAATAATTTCACCCCAATAAGTCCATTTGCGCAAAATACCATACCCAGGACAGAAGCTGTGACATTAATTATTGAGAAAGCTGCATTTTCCTGGCCACCAGATAATCTAGAAAACAATGAAACAATATTATTTAAAAATTCTGTTAAAAACAAATCCATGGCATATTTAAAAATGTGTCTTACTGTGTATACAACTTGGCACTTGAATTGATAAATTAGAACAATAGAATAATAATTATTATATAGGGTGTTCCAAAATTAGTGATAAATAACTATTTGTCCAAATAATATTTTTATATAAGTAAATTTTGTAGATTATTTACTTACGTTTTTAGACTCATAAACGAGAGGTTGATTACATATCCACTATACAATGCATTTAATATGTTCATTACTATAAATTGCCAATCTTGATGGAATATCACGGGCAAAGTTCTAGGCTGGGCATTGCAAAGGAAATAAAACGGTATTTCAATAAATGTGAAGATAAGTGTAAAGCTGATGTGCCACCATTGGTTGGATTTCTAAAAAATATAATAAAACGACTATATAAATAAATATAAAATATAATATCGCACGTAAGCAAATTTAAAAGACACAGCTAGAAGAGTCGCAGATTGTACTGAAATTAAATACTAATAATATGAGTGAAACTGTAAAAGAAGCAGTTGGAAACATTTTATGTTATGAAAGGATGAGGACTATTAAGGACGGTTTGCAATGTGCTTCTCAAAAGAGCTCTTCTCCTTTTTTTTGAACGGTGATACTTAGACTAACGAAATTAACTATTGTATGCGTCTGTACTAGTTGTAACAGGTGACGTTACAAGGTGACTGAAAGCAATAATATTAATAGGACCATATGGCAAGTGGTACCTCGTGTGAAAGGTATCTAGAATGCCTATACAATCATAATAATTATGTTTGGATTTACGGTGATTTTGATACATAAAATAAATGAATACTAAAATTTGAGATTTGATTTTAATTAGTAAAAAACAGCTCCTATAATAATTGTTTAAAATTTGCTCTATCTACTTCCTAGCAGTGAAACATACTATTATTAAACTCTTGTCGGACTCGTTCGTTGTTTTAAAACGCCAATACTGTCAGAAGCTGCAGCGTAAACCTTATATTAAGGTATTCCTAAAGAAAAAAATCTAAAGCTGTTAATTGTGGGGACCGAGCTGGCGATTCTATTACACAGCAACGTCCAGTCAATCTACCAGAATATTTATCATCTAGATAACATCTTACTGCGACGTACTAGTATGCAGGGACATTATCATGTTGGAATCTGTCCAATTTTTAAGAAAGGATCCAAATCTACCATAGAAAACTACAGACCTATATCCATCCTTTGAAATTTTGGAAAAGTTTTCGAAAATGTCATTTATGAAATACTTTTCGCTCATGTAAAATCGATTATATCTACAGCGCAGCACGGCTTTTTTCCAGGCAGATCCACATGGACCAATCTGATATGCTTTACCCAAGATGTTGCGGAAAACAGGGTGGCCAGGTTGAAGCTATATATACTGACCTTTTCAAGGCCTTTGATCGCTGCGATCATGGTATACTTTTGAACAAGCTTTCCATTGTTGGACTCACCACGTCTTTTCTGCGTTTCTTTGAATCATATTTATGTAATCGTAAATTGAAAGTTGAATACCATGGTTTTCAATCAATTTGTATGAAAGCTTCTTCCGGTGTTCCTCAAGGTTCAGTTCTAGGACCACTTTTATTTTCCATTTTTGTAAATGACATTACTTAAAACCTTTCATGTAATACCTTACTCTATGCCGATGAATTTAAATTGTTTAAGTCAATCTCCAGTATTGATGACTGTTTGATTATGCAGGATAATCTAAATAAATTGAATCTTTGGTGTAATTCTAACAACTTACCACTAAACATATCTAAGTGCAATTCTATCACCTTTGATATAATTGAGTATAAATTATACTCAATCGAATTTAGTTTACGAGTAAAGCTGATAGAATTGCACTTAGATATGTTTAGTGGTAAGTTGTTAGAATTACACCAAAGGTTCAATTTATTTATTATCCATATTTTCTAATATTAACTTTTCTGTCTCAAAAACCATTAAAATTATTACTAAATAAGACAGCTATCACCCATCCTTAGCCATTGATCTCAGTTTTCATAACAGATATAATCAATTTTCAGTTAATTAAAGTCAGACATATTGTCAATATGGTCAATATCCTCCTAGAGGTTTTCCACATAGCGATTTGCTATCAAGATTTAATTTAACGGAACTAAAATATCGCAGGGCATCACATCAATTGCTCTTTCTATATAATATTTTACATAATAAAGTGGACTGCATTGATCTAATGAAATATATATCACTTAGAGTTCCTAGATGAGGACTACGAAGTTTCCAACTTACAATTGCTAGGACTAACACTCTATCTTCTTCGCCAATACATCAAATAATCAAAGTTTATCCCGATGTATATCTAATATTTTGTACTACCAAAAAAAAATCAATTCTTAATCTTAATGAAAATTAGTATCATATAATAAACTAACATTTTATTTTTCCTTTTTTTATAACTGTTTTATATAACTTTTAGTCCATTACTTATTTTAATTTTGAAATTGTAAAATTGTATGTCTATAACTAATGCACAACATATTTTGATGCTCTTCTGTATAAATGTTTGCTTTTATGTTCTAACATATTTTTGTTTTTTGTTCATTTTCCAATCACCCTGTAATTGACATAAGCTGTTTTGGTGATGTAAATTATAAATAAATAAATAAATAAAGAAAAATAAATAAATTGGACCAAATGGTTTGACATTATGAACATTACCTGCAGTTTTCTCAAATAAGGACTCTATATAGGGCGATCGGAAATAGCTGTCACTTTGTTATCTAAAACACGTAGCATTTTGTAAATGTAGATACTTAAACGTCCCGTTAAACAATAATTAAACTAAAAATCCATTAAAAAATAGTCAACTTTTTTGACAATTAACCATAGGCGGGACTTTTAAATCTTTAATAATTAAAAATGAGTCTAAAATTTTAGTGTTTATTTATTTTATATGCCAAAATGACCATAAATTTAAAAAAAATAGTATGACTAAATACGTATTCTAAATACCTTTCAAACGTAGTGTCTCTTTCCATTAGGTTTTATTTAATATTATTGGTTCCAATCGCCTTGTCACGTCATCGATAACTATTACGTCACCTGTTAGCACTTGTAGAAAAGCTTACAATAGTTCATTTTTACCCTCAAACGAGACTTTTGAGAAGCACTGTATAGAATTGAAGTTTTAAGTTTATGGCATTTCACGAAAGACTGTAAACATGAAAAATCAAAATTTAAAGTTCCCCTAAGATAAAATTGCCTATAGAAAATTTATATAATTACCGTAACTACAATTTTCCTTGTTAAAAGTTTTCCAACGATGCAAAACACGTCGTTTATCAGGAAAACGGTCACAGGTATAAAATATTTAGCTGAAAAAGAAATTAACTATAATAACAGACTTTATTATTTATTCTATGATAATATTCTCAATCAGAAGTAATTCAAATAAACTCATAATTTAAGGAACTATCATTATTCTAAATTATAAACAACAGTGGAGCTTTGGGGTATACCAACTATTTAATAGAATGGCAACTGTCATATTTCACTGATTGATGTTTTTTAAGTGTTACTAATAGAGCGGTAATAAAGACATTTAAAGGATACTTTGTAATTGCTCTCTTAAATATAGTTCTTTGTAGCTGCAATGAGATTATTTTATGTTTGTTGAAACAATTTTGCTTTATACATGTTGCACATAAAATTGCCCTAACAAGAAAATGAGGCGACTTCCCTTATAAGTGTTGAATATTTAACTAATGTATCTTATTGTTATATCAAATAGCATGCTTTATAAATTTGCACGTTTTATATTTATACTTAACTTTAAAATGTTACTAAAGACAAATATAAAACCGGTATAAATCAAAAAGCTTTAAAAAAGAAATTGGTAATCTTAAGAAATACTGAGTATTTCTTATAAGAAAAATTTATAACATATATTAAATATGCTGTAAGAATATTTATATAACAATATTATAGTGCTATTTTGTTTTCAACAGCTAAATTGCATCATTTGTTATATTTATGAGTCAATATTGAATTTCTTAAATAACTATAAAACCTTTATAAGAATTAAATGTTCTATAATTCAAAGGTTATAAGAGAAGTGTGCTGATTGAGGTGGCAAAGACAAGGTGACAAAGTTAAAAATTTGTAAAGAGCATCGAAATATACAAAATTTCCCATTTTCAGGTAAAACTCCAAACAATTGTACTATTAAAACATCTTGATTATTAGACTTACATGTCCATAAATCATAATTTTGTCCTTTCTGAGGCTCGACCAATGTCGTCAACGATGGGCTGATCAAACAAATATTAAAAATTAAAAAACACGTCAATAATTGACAAGGCCATATTTCTTTCATCAACTCTTTCATATCGGAAAACGTGGCATTGTCAGATTCATCATCAGTTTCGGTCACATAATATTTAAACACTTCAGTCCGAATCATTAAAACTAATAATATCAATGTTATCAGTATGAAAATTGTTCCTGCTATGAAATACATTAATCCAGTGGTCGAACTTGAAGTTGTTACTGTTAGTGAGACGATTTGTAATAATGTCGTTAAGACTGTACCATTTTGGCCGATCATATAGTACATTAAATAGTCTTGAGGTAGTTTGGCTACTAGTAGTAATGAAGATGATTGGAAAGCTGATAGAAAAACTAAAAAATATTAAAAAGTGGAAATATTATCACACTTTCCCAAAATTTACTTACCACTATTGATAAATAAAAGTATCATGCTCAAAATAAAAAATCCAGTCTGCCCTGAAAAAGGAAAACGAAATTATTATTGGTAGGGTAATGCATACAGTGGTTGATCTCGGGGTAATGATTGGCCATATTGACTTCAAATCCGAATATTAAAAAAACTCTTTTGCTTTTACTTAATTTGACCATGGCCAAACATACTCTCAACCAGTGTTGCCAGAATATATTTTTGTAATGTACCAGATTTGTCTAAAAAATGTACCAGATTGCATAAAAATGTACTAAATTCTATACAATTACCAGATTTTTCTCTCGAACAGCTTTTAAACCTTTTTTTATCTCTTAAGCTATTTTTAAACAATATTATATCTCTCGATAAATTTCTAACAGCAATTTTTAATTTTTAACAACTTTTTTTTATCCCTCGAGCAATGGTTGTACAATATTTTTTGTACAATTTTTAACACTATTTAATCACTCAAGCAATTTTTAACAGCCTTTTTTTCCTCTCAAGCTATTTTTGAACAATATTTGATCTCTCGTGCAATTTTTGTACAATATTTTATCTCTTGAGCAATTTCAAATAGTATATCTCTCGAGCAATTTCTAATAGTAGTTTATCGTTCGAGGAATTTTTTAACAATGTTTTATCTCTCGAGAAATTTCTAACAGTATTTCTCGAGTCAATTTTGAACAATATTTTATTTCTCAACAAATTTTTCAACAGTAATTCATCCCTGGAGTAATTTTTGAACACGATTTTAACAATTTATAATACTATTTAATCTCTCGAACAATATATAAATGTATTTTATCTCTCATTAAATTTCTAACAGTATTTTTATCCTTAGAGCAATTTTTGAAAATTTTACCACTCAAGCAATTTCTAATACTATTTTATCCATCGGCCAATTTTTAACACCTTTTTTACCTCTCAAGCTTTTTTTGAACAATATTTGATCTCTTTTGCAATTTTTGAATAATGTTTTATCTCTCGAGAAATGTCTACTATTTTATTTCTGAAGCAATTTTTAACAACTATTTTAATTTCTCTGGCAATCTTTGAACAATATATTTTACACTTTAAATGGAACATACGCTGAAAAAAGTACTAGATTTTGCTTCGAGTGTACTAGAGTACCAGATTCTCAGAGAATGTACTAGATCTAGTACAATTGTACTAGACTGGCAACACTGCTCTCAACTTAGAATGTTAACTTTTTAGAGTACTTGGTAATATCGAGTTAAAAATGGCACTTGTGTATCCAGACAGTATACATACTTCGTAAAGAATAAGTTCAGAGTAACACAAGTAAGTTAATATTTTTGGCGTTATTTAATAATTATGTTGTGAATGTGTTCTGGTGATTTTATTAAATTTAGTGTTAATTTGAAAGCTCTTTTTTAATATAAACTTAAAATTTTATTTGCTAAAGTCTATTCAGATTTCATTTACACCGCGTCAAAACACTTTCTCCCATCCAGCAACAGCTCACGTGACATTTTTTTGCGCTTCTATTGGTTAATCAGTCGTTAGTCATTTAGACGACGCGCAAATATTTTTTGTCAGAGTCGAATTCAGTTCAATTTGGATAATTATAAACGGCGTTTTGGTAGCATTCACCGTGTTGGTTAGTTTGGACATTTTGTATGTTTGATTGATTATAATTTATTACATTATAGTTTAGATATACATATATTGTGTTATTTATTTTTTTTGTGGTTGTTGTTAGTTTGAACATGTTTTACTCTATTTTATGGACATTTAGTTGACTTTATTTAGCAATTGCTGCGTGCCACTATGTCCTCCACAGATACAGCAGATGAAGACCAGAAAAATGTTTTTACTCCTTCTAAAAAGCGACTGAAAAAGGGACATTTGGTCATCCATACTAAAGAAATGGTTCTTAATATTTATAAGCATTAAATTTTATAGAACCCTGATATGTTGGTACATGATGTTGAAAGGAGAGTTGCTGATAAAACAGGGATGTGCGCTAAAACCGTTTTTAGTGTTCTGAAGGAGTATAGGCAGATTCATAAATTTTCTGAACCAAAAAGAAAGCTACGTTATAAACAAATTAGTGGCTCTGTGGATGATTTTGATAAAAATGCAATAAGGCGCAAAGTACATCAATTCTTCTTTAGAAATTAACTTCCAACAATTGATAAAGTTTTATAAGAAGTCAACGATGATCCATATTTGTCTACTTTTAAGCGAGCTTTTCAAAACCCTTAATTTTAAATTTAAAACTCGAGGAAAAATTAGTTTGCTTTTAGACAAAAATGAAATTGTTTCGTCCTACGCCACAAAAGATAAAACGGTACAGAGAAGAAAAGCAAAAAATATATTATCTTGATGAGACTTGGATTAACGCAGGCCACACCAAATCAAAAGTATGTTTCGATATGTCGGTTTTTTCATCCAGACAAGCCTTTTTGGATGAACTTTTAACTGGTTTTAAAAACCCATCAGGTATGTGCGTAAAAACAGCTCATTATATGCCATATTGGGAGTGAAGAAGGCTTTGTCTCTAATGCACTTTATGTATTTGAGTTGAAAAATCCGGTGACTACCATGGAGAAATATGTGGAGAATCGTTCAAAGAGTGGTTTTCAAACACCCTACCAAAATTAAAAGATAACTGCATTATTATTCGAGAAAGCTGGAAAAAATATCTACGACGTCTAAAAAAGGTGATATTTAAAAATGGCTATAAGGGAAAAAATTGAATTCGACTACCAAATGCTTAAGATCCAACTTCTAAAACTTTGTAAGCAACATAAACATTATCATAGGTATGTAATAGATGAAATGGCTAAGCAGCAAAACAACATAATACTTCACATGTCTCCGTATCATTGTGAACTTAACCCTATTGAATTAATCTAGGTTGACGTTAAACAATACGTAGCAGATAAAAACTCAACATTTAAATCTGGAGACATTAAAATTCTTTTTGAAGAAGTAATATTATTAATTTCTCCAGAAAAATGGAAAAAGTGTATCGACCATGTTCGCCAAAAAGTTGAAGTAAAAATGTGGGAGTTGGATAATATTATAGAGGTTCAGGTAGAACCACTTGTAATTTTGATTAATGAAGATAGCCTTTCAAGTCTAACTAATTTATCCAATTCAGAATAGTGCTAAGTCAAGTAAGGAAGATTGCTATAATACAGGGTACAAGTTGTCTAATCTAAATACTAGTAGAACAAGAACAATAAAGAACAAAAGTTATCAAAAATACAAAAGGTTTATTTTTAGGATGCACAATTTTAAATCAAATACCAAATTCAAATACCAAATACCTCTTATATTTAAAGTTTTTTTTTAATGCTTTTAGTAGATATATATTCGCTATTAAAGAATTTGCAATTATTTGGACACCCTGTACAATATAATTTTATAATATGATTGTTTTAATGCTCTGTATCACAGTAGACATATGTAATGAACTAAATATAATGCAACCATCTCTTTTAAAGTCAAATACATTTATTAATTTGTATTGCAGGTTAACGCAGTTTATGTCGCTCACCTATCTTGGTCCAGAAATGTCACTAAAGTCTGGGAGACCGTGTATGGCATTTATTTTATAGTTTTTACAAAATATGTTTTTGTCGTAATAAAAAAATAATTTCACACTCTTTTATTTTACATTTTTGCAAGACGGAAAAGTAAAATACGGCCCTGCTCAATTTTAGCGTCCACCTGCTTCTGTTTACATCAGGCGTAAACTAAAATTGAATAGACTTTAGGTCAATAACCGTCCAAAAAAAACTGGTGGGAAAACAGTGATTGGCCCCGGAGCCAATTACTGTATAAGATAAAGCATTTTTAAAACAAAAAATTTTTAGAACAAATGTTATTTGGAAAACTCTAAACAGTGGTTGGCAGGAAGCCAATGACTGTGATAGAGGTGGGGCCAATAACTAGCTCAGTAAAAATATAAACTCTCTAATAATCAAGGACTGGAAAAAATTCACCAAAGAATTAAAAAAAAAATGCGCATTTTAATGCAATTAATTTGCAAAAAATATGCAAAAGTATTTACGAAAAATGCAACATTAATAATGATTAATTAATAATCTTCACTATATATTTGTGTGACGTTGGATATAATCATATTTAAATAAAATAATAGCTAGTTTTTAAGTACATACTTTATTTATGATTATCTTGAATTGGCACTTAAAATTACATAATTCTTATCTAACACAAACACTAGCATACATAAAAACACAGTATATAAACAAATGCATATCCTATTTATTGAAATTGTTAAAAGCACTAACTACTAGACATTTGTCTTTTATTCGTATAGATATGTTTACCATCGAAAAGCTTCGTTCTACGTCTACAGATTTTTTTCTAGCACAGCGTAATATTTATTGAAAATAATTTTTCCTATTTTTCCTTGAACTTTTTTAAATGCATTCTCCGCATTATCTATTAATTCAACAGTTTCAACTAGAGATACAGATGTATTTTGTAATTGAACAAGGACTTTTGGTACAAAGGAATAATTTGATTTTATGTAAACAAGTTGATGTCTTGGTGGTTAATTTTTAAATAACCATTTAGACTCTGAAAGAACATCTAAAGCAGAATCTGTTAAATCAAGAATGACTTTTTTATTGATTCATAATGTTCCGCATAAAATAAAGCTACATCAAGCCATGTGATCCACCGGGTTATTATTGGTTTTGGCGGTAGTGGGAAATCTAGAAGATTTTCCTTATAAATTTGGATTCATAATGGAGATTTAAGAAAAAATTTTTTAATGTTAATGTTAGAAAAGAAATGGAAAAAAGAGCATAAGAAAGAGAAAGAGACGAGCAGATAAGAATGAAAAACAAGCCAAAAATAATAAAAAACAGGTGAAAACGATTGGTAAAATTAGGAAAGAAAACAATTCAAAAAAGCAAGCACAAGTTAAACAAGATAATGTTCACGAAAAGAAAAATGGAGAAGGAGCAACAGTTACAAGAAACAAGCTTACAGTACAGCTGAATACGGTAGATCAGGTCACTGATTTTTCTTAAAGACGGCGTAGGGGCCTTTCCAGTTCCGTTGCGATTTTTAACAAAATCCTCTGTGATTAGGATTGCACAGCCGTAATGGGTCGCTTCTCTCAAAATGTGTCCCTGTGGCACGCTTGTCGATTCTAGCTTCTGCTTTCAGTTGTTCCCGAGCGAATCCGTAAACCTTTGTCCTGCCATTGCATAAATCACATTTATACACCAATTCGCTACATCCTGCCGGGAATTTACCCAGTAAAATCTTTCCCGAACTCGTTCTAGTGTCGTTTTAGTACAAAAATGTTATCCCTAATGGCTACAATGAAGCTCCTCCAACACACTTATGTCACCATTTGGCAGGTTACATGTACTTCATCAAGGCTCTCCCACTTCCGGTGCAATAGGCCATCGTGAAGAAACAGGGAATCCCACTGAGTCCTTTTAATAGCTCCACTGTATTTGGCTATTTCTTCCCAATTAGGCGTAACTTTATTTTTGAGCCATTCTTGGACAACCTTCAAGACATTGTCTTTCTTCTGTCCCTTTCTCAGGCTTTCAAGGGCAATTTCTTCTTCGTCGCTCTCTGGTTTGATAGTGGTTGCTCGAAGAGTAACTTTATCAACCTGATCCTCTTGTTCTCCGAGCCCTTTACTATACCGACATTCCCGTTTTAAACAGGGTCACCTGGAGAGAATGTCTGCGTTTTATAGAACGAGCCCTGCTTCTACAAGTTCTTTGAAGGTGCCCGATTCTTTTGCAATTGAAGAATATATTGCTTCTATTTTGGCTGTTTTGTTGCATATTTTGCAGGATATTGAAGATTTGTTAGAAAGTAGGTTGGGGGATAGCTTTAGTATTGGCCTCCTCACTTTCCTGGGCTTTAATTTCTTTCAATTTTGCGCGAGAAGATCTATACATGAGTTTTACCGCTTCATATTCCTAGGCTGCAATCAGTTTCTTCCTCAGCGTCTTGTAAAGTTGTAGACGAAGGGCTTGCTTCATTTTCACATCTTGTAGTCCAGCAATGAATGCCTGTATGCCGATTTGTTCTTGGAAATCTTTGGAAGCCTGTGGATAGGCCAGATGAATCAATCATTTTATATCGGCTTTGAATTCTTATAGACTCTCATTATGTTTCTGACTTCGAACCTTTAGCTGGCTTGTCTCTAAAGTTTGGACGAGATACTAAGTTCTTTTTGGGGAAGTAACTGTAAAACGGTTGATGCCTGTCCTCGCAGAGACACTATCAATGAAGCCGCCATCTCCTTCTTGATCTGGCCATTAGCTCTAGCTGCAGCTTCAAATTGGAGTCGATATGTTTCCCATGTCGTCTGACCGTCGAACATGGGTAGCTTCAGGGTCTTTCTACTATGGTTTTGTGAGACTGTGGTTCGAATATGACTTGGGTTGGTTATAGATAAAGACGAGGTAGTGTTTTCAGCTTCAATGTTGTTTACTGAAGCTTGGCTGCGAATTATGCTTTCTAACTCAACTATTTCAGCTCTAATTTGCCTTTCAAACTCCAGTCTAGCCTGTTTCTGTTGTTCTAAATTAGCTTTCAAATTGTATTGCTATTTTTCTAAATTATCTTTCAAATTATCTTGCTGTTTTTCTAAATTCGATTTTAAGTTCTCCAAATTAGTTTTTAAATTCTCTTGCTGCTGTTCTAAATTGGGTTTTAAGTTATCTTGTTTTTTGTTTTTAAGAGATCAACTCGGCTGTTTAGTTGATCTACCTCTTGCTTAAGGTTTTCTTGAATTTGCAACAAACCATTCTTAATTTTTACCTCAGCTCTTTTACTTCTTTTTCTTCGTCTTACCTTCTTTTTTCTTTTTACTCCTCTTCTTTCTTCCTACGCCCTTTATTTTCCTCCTCTTTTTTCTCTTTATGCCTTATTCTCTCTTCTTCCATCTTCAAAAACCATACTGGTGGACCTGAAGTATCAATATTTGTTTCCTGCGCAGCAACTTTTACAATAACTATATAACTGATAACATTAACATATAACGTCTATCATAAACTGACTGACTGAAGTTAGGATCACCGACTTTTATAGCTTGCTTTCCCATTCTTGAACTTACTCGAACGTTCCAGGTTTTTCTTGACGTGGAATGACATTTCTCGAATATTCCTCCTTCTTCCTTTACTCGTACCTTTACTTATGATGACCGCAGCACGCTACAGGGTGCTGAGTAACAGTATTTTGTCTGATATTACTTTAACAAAGAGTAGTGATGGCTTTAAAAATTTAAATATTACTCTCATGGTTTTGACGAAATTTGCATTTTAGTAATTTTAGAACATAAACAATAATTATTAAAATACAAACTTTGTCAGAACCATGAGAGTAAATCGAGTGTTATCAAGGGTACTTTTCTGTAGTGAATGAGTACCTAATCCAAATTTCATACTCAAACCCCTTTTCTTCCATTGGCGTAGAATTTTTAAAGGTGAAATTATTTAAAAAATCAAGTTCTACGCCTATGTATTATTATCGGACAAAATTTTATACGATGAAAAACAATTTACTTTTAACATATCTTCTTCAACACCTCTAATCGAGACTTTTAACAAAAATACTCGATTCTTGTCATGTACGATTTTTTAAGGAATATTAATTATTTGCCTGCAATACGTATACAAAAACATTTATTGTTGGTTTCCATAGTTTCATCTAAATAAAAATATTGTCAAGTTTTAAAACCTAATCGCTTGTTAACGATTGAAAGTGTTCTATCTGACTCAATAATTAAAAAAACAAATGCGTGGTTTATTAATATGGCTGTACAATATACCAATGCAGAATATACCGATATGTTACTGACATTAGGATTTTGTGAAGGAAATGCTCGAGAGAGTGTCAGGGTGTACTCTGAAAGGTTTCCAAATCGTCGTGTACCTAGCCACCCAACTTTTGCTGCTGTTGAGAGACGTCTTCGGGAGGCCGGTTCCTTTGCTCCCAACACTGTTGATAATGGAAGAGAATATTTTGTAAGGATTCCTGAAGTTGAAGAAGACATTTTAGAACGTGTTGAAGAAGATCCAGAATTAGGCACCAGACGAATTGGAAGGGAACTAGGAGTAAGTAAAGATGTCGTTCATAAAGTGCTTAGAGAACACTTGTTATATCCATACCATAAGAAGCCAGTACAATAATTATTAGTCCATGATCCTTAAATTCGTTTGGGTTTTTGTCGATTTGTTAATATGCAAAGAGAAAGAGATCCAAACTTTGTCAAGAAGGTTCTCTTTACCGATGAAGCGGGTTTTACAAGAAGAGGTATAACTAATACCCATAATGAACATGTTTATGCCGTTGAAAATCCGCATGCAATAAAGGTAAACCATTTTCAGCACGAATTCAAAATTAATGTGTGGGCTGGAATAATTGGTAATTTCATTGTTGGTCCTGTCATACTTCCACGAAGATTAACTGGAGAAAATTATTTGGATTTTCTACAAAATACGTTGCCAGAATTGTTAGAAGATTTACCTCTTCAACTTCGGAGAGATACGTGGTTTATGCAAGATGGAGCTCCATCACATTTTTCTTTAAACGATAGAAACCACTTGAATGAACAATATCCACACAAATGGATAGGCAGAGGTAATGACGCACCTGTAAACTGGCCACCACGTTCCCCAGACCTAACACCGATGGATTACTTTTTATGGGGACATCTGAAATCCACAGTTTACAGGGAACCTGTAGAAAATGAGGAACAACTCTGGCAACGTATTCAAGACGCAATAAACAATTTTAGAGGTGATGAAGAAGTTATGGAAAGGATATATTTTAATTTTCTTCGACGTATAAATCTTAGTACAATTTGAACAATTTTTGTAAAATCTCTATTTTGATTATGTTGTAAATAAATATTTTTGTGAAACCTATACACTCTAAATTATTAAAACAGAAATTTAGCGAAAACCATGAGAGTAATCGAGTCTTATCCAAGAGTACCTTTTTTAAAGTAAATGAGTTGCGCAATCTAAATTTCATACTCAAACTCCTTTTCTTCCATTAGCGTAGAATTTTTAAAAGTGCAATTATTTAAAAAATCAAGTTCTACGCCTAAGTATTATTATCGGACGAAATTTTAATACCATTTTTTTTGCCACATAAAACTCTACCAATATACCAAATTTCAGCAAAATCGCATATGCCGTTTTAAATTTATATAGGAAAAACGATTTAAAAATTGTAACTTCAAGGCCCTCTGGAGCCCAAACGAAGCAACTTTGTACAAAGGTAATTTTACTTAAATCGACTTATTTTGGACTAAGGAATATGTGGTATGTTTTTGTAAAGACCTTTTACAGACACCCTACCCTGTATAATGGTAAAAAGTTTTAATATATATTTTAAATAATGCTATAATTTCATATGAAACTGAAATCACTGTACCTTTTGCTTTGTTAAAGGAAAATATCCTACATTTTTATGTATGATTTATTTTTGTTAATCTGAAATCTATGATGTGTACTTACAAGCGTCTGTATTTATTTTGGCAAAAATGACGAACACAGCGAAAACTATCGCCAGACTAATCAACGAACCAATTGTTCTTTCTGTGATATATTTCGAGTAAGTCATAGTCAACGCAGATAAAATTGCCGATGGCACAGTTTGGACGATTATCGTTATAGACTGAAAATATTGTTGAAGGTTTGTTCTGTCTTCGCCGTTTGACGTTTCTGAATCCATCGTACTGTTTCTGAATTTGAACAACCAATACTAAAACGAAATTCAAACGTTTCTAATATTAAAAATATTGATTATAAATAAGTAAACAATTGAAGAAAAACAACCATGTGTTACAAAATAAAATGAGCGATCCTTTTCCTTCGGAAAACAGCTACTTCAAAGAAATTGCTGGTGCTCTCCAATGTAGTGTAAAGGACATTACAGAAGCTATTTTTTCTAAAATAATGTACACAAACTTACATCATTGGCAACTGAAAAAAATGTCATTGGCATTAGGCTCATGAATCCTAACAGGAACATTGTGATATGAACTAAATGAAAATCGTCTTTTGGTTCTTTCCATATTGAAGGCGGTAGAGATTTTCTCTTTTCTTCATGTTTGTGTGATAAAACCGATAGAAACGAAACTAAAAAATTCAACGAAAATGTTATTTTATTTTTTATCATCTAGGTGGCTGTAAATTTCATCAAATACATTTGATTTCAGATCTTTTATCAGGAGTACCATTTTCTGAGAAATATACAAAAATAGTATTTTTTCCAACAAAAATGAATATCATGTCCATGCACCAGTACGTTGTACAGTATATTTTTTCTACACCCCACAAATGTCTACAAATTTAAAAAAATTATTTTTGGTTATTAATAAAAAATTACTTATTTTAAAATAACATAAAACTTTTACAAATTCATAAAAAAAATAAAAAAAAAGGAATTTAATTAGTCTTCAATCCTAGAATCTTTCTCATGGTAACTCGGTACGCTCCATTAACTTACCTAACTTTACTAAATCTCACGCCATTGCACATCTTCATACAAGGAGAAACCAGGTCAGCTATTCACAGGCTAATGCAGGGACAAAACCCAATAAGCCAACTACATAGCGCCGACCACACAAGGCTATATCAGCAAGTACAAAGGGATAATATTCTAGCTATGCCTACTGATAGAGCCATAACCACATACAAATTTGAAAGAAATTTTCAAATTCAAATACCAGCCCGAGAATCCTGGAAACAGGGACCTCCCGTACAGGCTGAACTCGCCTGGTACACAGACGGTTCAAAAACCAAGGAAGGAGCCGGTGCTGGAATCTATGGACCTAAGTCGAAATCAACGATTTCACTAAGCTTAGGAAAATATGCAACAGTGTTCCAGGCTGAGCTAATAGCCATACAACACTGTGCAAGAGAAATATTAAATCAGCAAGTATCAGGCAAAACTATTGCCATATACTCTGATAGCCAAGCAGCTCTAAAGGCAATTCTCTCACCAGAAATCAAATCACGACTGGTGAAAGACTGTCTAGAAGACCTGACAGAGCTAAGTAGTCAAAATAAGGTGACCGTAGCCTGGGTTCCAGGCCATGAGGGATATCAGGGCAACGAAAAGGCCGACGAATTAGCCCAAGAAGGCTCAGATAAGGCCATGACAGGCCCTGAACCCTTTTGTGGAGTCGCTAAGGCATTGTGCAAGGCATCCATTAAACAATGGATGCAAAAAGAGTCTCAGGAATAGTGGAACAACTATCCAAGACTGAGACAGGCCAAACAGTTCATCAAGGAACCATCGGCCAAGTTTACGAAAGACCTACTGGATCAAAAACGTCAAATCGTTAGGATAACAGTAGGCCTTCTTACTGGACACTGTCGCCTCAAAAGGCACATGAGTGTCATAAATCCAGCAGAAGAAGCAACTTTGTGCAGGTTCTGTGATGAAGAAGAGAAAACATCATTCCACGTCCTGTTCCAATGCGAAGGCTTGGCTGGAATGAGGTTTCTAACATTTGGCGAAGAAAAGCCAATTGCATGCAACTACATGCGGGAGCCACTGTCAAAGCTACTAAGTCTAATAAAAAAGACCAGGCTAGACGACATACTCTAAAACAAACGGAGTCCCACAATAGATCTGAAAAGGTCGCGGTGGACAAGGACAAATAACGTCCAACTCCTAATCTAATCTAATCTACCTAACTTTATGATTTATTTGTGAATATAGATAAATATCTTGTGAAATGATATTATACAAGCAAACAGATATTTTGGTGCCTGCTATTTTTTAACTATTACTGGGTAACTTTTAGGTGCGAAATCCAAAATAACCATCAGATTTCGTCTATCAGATCTAGTTTTTAAGATAGGCAAAAACACATAGAGTTAAGTATTTCTTACAAAAAGTAGATTCACACACATTCATACTTACATTAGTCATTTATCACATTAATGTTTCTTTTATACGAGTTTCTAGTATGGAATTTACTAGAGCAATTAAAATATCATTTAGGCAAAAAAACAAAACAATTATTCGCTAACATCGCCCATCCAGGACGGTACAACTTACCGATTGTGAATCTTCAGATTCCTCGTACCATTCACCAGACCACATTTATAGAACATAAAGCCTGCATGAGGCTAACAATTATACTATATTTATTATTTAAAAAGATTTCCCTAAGTTCTAAGCAAACAAAAGTAAAAGCAATAAGTTCAGAGGTGGCTGACCTGCTTTTAACTTCTTTAATTACAAAAACAAATGCTTTAAATTAAGGTTCAAAGGTACTCTTCAGATACTTAATGGACCTATGCTTAACTTTGTTACAAAAGCAAAAGCTTTAAATGGAAGTTCAGAGGTAATTCTCAGATATTTAACTGACCATTACTTAACTCTGTTACTAAATAAAAAACAGTAGATGAGTTCAGAGGTACTCTTCAGGGATTAATCTGACCTGTACTTGACTTTCTGGTGACACAAAAACAACATTAAGTTAAGAGGTACTCCTCAGGGATTAACCTGAACTGTACTTAACTTTCCGAATAATTGAATTAACAGTTAATCGCAATTTAGAAAGAGCGCTCGTCCATTCTGACAAATTTTAAACTTCAACAGTTAATAAATTAATTATTATTACAACATACCTTTGAACTTGTCCAGTAGCGCCCCTGCTTTAATTTAATTAAAACCATTTTGCAAACAAATGCGCCAGTATGCTCTGGTCTAAGAAGAATAAGAAAATATTAAAATACTCACTTTTTCTAAGTACGTCTATTTCCTTCAGTTGTGACATTTTATTGAATAAAAATTAACTAGATCCGAAACAATTATAACTCTTTAAATCAAAAACGTCCCGTTGCAAGAATACTTATGCGTATTTCGAATAAATACTAAATTAGGTTCTGATTATTTTCTAATTATCTAAATCAATATCTTATGATTTAGAATTAGGTTTATTGTTTAAAAAAAAGATTAATAGATAGTGGATAGATAAGTGATTATCTGAATGGATTTTCAAAAGGAGACTCTTGACAACTGCTTATTAGGTAGACTAAAAAATCTGATGTGTCTAACACATAACCTGTCCTATATATATATATATAAAATAATTTAATATGTCTAGTAAGTCTGAGAGGAACAAGGAATCTAATAAAATGTACCAGGCTGTCACTATCAATCAAACTGTTCCATAACTTATACAGCAAAACAAGCGATGATTCTCGACGTCTTCATTCCAAACTCTTAAGTCCGCACAAGAGAATTCTGGTTTGGTAATCTATATTTTGCGATGGAAGCTTATGTTTATATAGTTAGATACTTCGAAAATTTATTTTGCACTCTTTCTAATTTATCAATATGACAATTGTAGTTAGGTGCCCAAATCACTGAGCAGTATTTTAAAATGCGTCTAACTAAGCAGTTGTAGAGACTCTTCAGAGCTGACGTGTCATAAATAATGTGCTTGGTGTTCATTTTGACAAAGCCTAGCATTCGAAAAGCTCTATTAACAATTTCTTTCAAATTAGGAATAAAAGATATGTCCCTGTCAAAAATATCACCAAGATCATTTATAGTTTGCTCAACACTTAGTTCAGAACCTGCAATGACATAATCGAAGACACAAGTGGATGAAGGGCCTATGTAACATTCTTTTTAAATGGTGTTTTTCTGTGAATGTACCTAAAATTTGTTAAAAATATCTTCCGTGACAATATATCTTCAAATATAGAAGTTTCCAGTGGACAAAGGACCCATGTACTAGGGAATAACTGCCAAACAATAAACTTTAACAAGAAATAATTCTAAAAAGAAATATATTATTAAATATCAAAAACTTTTAGATCTAGAGCACATTATAATTACCACTTCTATTTTTACTATATTTCTAACAATAATAATAAAAATAATATTAAACACAAATTTGATATTTCAACAAAACCAAATAATTGGTTAAAAATTGATAAATTTATCTTTTTTTTTCAAATGGACAAACACCTGAAAAAAATGACATTGTCCTGAGTGATAATTCAAAAACATATTAAAGGAATTATGTTTTTTAATTTTTGTTACAGCCAAATCTTTTGTTTTCTCCTCTGAAGATAGTCTGCAATTTCTTTTGATCTATTACTTATTATTGATCCAGCCTAGATATTTAATAATTTCACCCCAATAAGACCATTTGCGCAAAATACCATACCCAAGACAGAAGCTGTGACATTAAATAGTGCGAAAGCTGCTTTTTCTTGGCCATTGGATAATCTAGAAAACAATGAAAACAATATTATTTCCAAATATTATTGCAAACACGATACACATACACCGGTATGCTACTATTTCGGACCAAATTTCGCACTTTCCGCGCATGACGTAAGCAGGCATGAAGTAAATTTAGAAGAATTAAGAGTATTTTTCTTGTGTGGTGTTCATTTTTGAAGAGATTAGTTTGAAGTTTCTATTTAGTATTGCCCGTTTTTAGATGTTTTTAAAGAGTTTAAAGTAAAGTGTTGTGTGTTCTTCAGAAATTTTCTTGGGACAATTAAAGAACTATAAAATGTCTAATTGTGCCGTGGCTACGTGTAAAAACTACAGTAAAATTACAAAGGGAACGGACATAAAAAAATTTAGATTTCCCAAGAATGTTAATTTTATTAGTTCAAAAGTTATATTCATTTAAAAAGGGTATATTACAGAAACATTTTTATTACCAAAATAATCAACCAAACAAATATTTTATTAATTTTATTTAATTAAATGCTTTAAGTGTCTTCCTTGTTCTAATCATTTGGCAGTATCCAATACTGTTGTAAAATATTAGCCAGTTACGTTACTTTCTGCACACACTGTATGTATGTTTACTGTGCTCCACTGTACAAGGTATCTGATGTGATAGGAAGATGTACACCTTGGAATAAAATCGACCTGTATTTGCATTTTTTTTGGAAAAATCTCCTCCAAAATTATCTGAGTTAAATCCGTCAAAAGACCTTAATCACCCTGTAAACTGGTTTTACTCAGTCCTGGATTTGTCAATAGGCCGTATAGGCCGCGTCCTATACATTTATATATATATATATATACATCCCACTATCATTTTGGCATCCTTTCATAACACCTTAATTTGGCGTCCACTAGAAAGAAACCTATTTTTAAATATTTAGCCGTGTATATAAATCCGGCGCATTTTTTAATACATGAAACTCATCTTAGATTTTTAGTAGCGTAAAGTTTACTATATACGCGACTTTTACACTAAAACGCATTTTGGCGTCCGTACAAAAAAAAATTAAAATTAAAATCATTGCGACTACCAGCAACGTTGCCAAGTTTCTTAAAAGAAAATCCAATCATTGTTACGTCAGATATTGTAGATATACACAGACGATGCATCAACCATTATTTAAAACCCCAACGTTTAACATAATTACATATTATCATTAGTATATTTGAAAGCTTTTAATAATATCATCCTTTTAACGTCCTGTACCTAATGTATATAACATAATATGTTTAAATATATTAATCACTATGGCGTCCTCTTAGTTATTTTTAAAAACCGATCATTCTAGCGTCAACGTATATGAAAAACATTTTACCTTAATAATCATTTTGGCGTCTCTATCATGCAGTGTATATAAAATATATTTAAAATGTTCAATCATTTCGGCGTCTCGCTAGTTTTCTTTTAAAACATTCTAACGTCCACATATACATATATGAGAAACACTTCACCTTATAATTATTTTGGCGTCTCCATCATGCAGTGTTTATACAATATATTTAAATTTTTCAGTCATTATGACGTCTCACTAATTTCCTTTTAAAACCGATTATTTTGACGTCCACATATACAAATATAAGAAACACTTTACCTTTATAATCATTTCGGCGTCTCGCTAGTTTTCTTTTTAAACCGGTCATTCTAACGTCCACATAATATATTTGGGAAACACGTCACATTTACAATCATTTTGGAATCTCCAAAGTGGAGGTAGGAATGTTAGTAGATCAACCTGAAATTTTCAAGAGAAATCAAAGTCTATAGATTTTGAAAAAAATCTGGTAAGAATTGGGAAACTTTAAAAAAAAATCATAAATCAAAAACTAAAATCAATATCCACTTGAAATTTCTAGGAAAAATCAAGCTCTTTTAGAAGACGAAGCCTATTCATTTTGAAAAAAATTGTTTTAAAATTGGGGGTTTAAGGGGGGATTGAAACAAGATCTATAGGCGGACGAAGCCTATAATAAAAAATGGGGGTTAATGGTAGTTGAAATAAAAATATCGTAAATCAAAATTGAAAAATGAAAAACGATATCAACTTAAACTTTTTAGGAAAAATCAAGTTCTATAAGGGGACGAAGCCTTGTGATTTTGAAAAAAATCTGAATAAAAATGGAGGGTTTAAGGGGGATTAAAACTTAAAAAATAAAACAAATCAAAAACTAAAATCAATATTAATTTGAAATTTTCAGGAAAATCAAGCTTTATCAGCTTTATTGATTTTAAAAAAATTTATTAAAAATGGGGATTTAAGAGAGAGTTAAAACAAAAACAAAATTAAAATCAAATGAAAAACGAAAAACAATATAAACTTGAAATTTTCACTAAAAATCAAGATCTATAGGGGGACGAATTTTATTGATTTTAAAAAAATCTGAATAAAAATGGGTGGTTAAGGGAAGATAAAATTAAAAAAAAAATCAAAAACGAAAAACGATATCAATTTAATTTTTTTTGAAAAAATTAAGCTCTATAAGGGGACGAAGCCTATTGATTTTTAAAAAATCTGTATAAAAAGAGGGGGGTTAAGGAGGTTGAAATTAAAAAAATCCGAAAATTAAAAACGAAAAACAATATCAACTTAAAATTTTTAGGACTAAACAAGCTCTATATGGAAATGTATTTAAATAATCGTTACTCTAATAATTGACATTGCTTGGCAAATAGTTGTTGAATATTGCATATTATGTGTAACCGAGGTGAACCCTTAACGCATAAATATTATTATTAAATTTGGGTATTTAATTGTAATTTTTTCATTATTTACCCCCAACCAAAGTGTCTGTTAATATTACTTAATTAGGTTAGGCAATAGGTATTATACTCGTAGGTAAGGTAACGATTTATTAGCAAGAGATAATCATTTATAGCATAGCCGCTTGAGTCATCATGAAGATGAATTTGGTTTAGCTGTTTGGAGTTTTATAGTAAACCGTTACTTGGAATTGTTGGATATGAGTAAACTCCTGGCACTCATTTACATACTTTTGCTACGACTCGCCTCCTTCTTCACTGGCATTTAACTGTCGATGGTAGAAAATTTCACCTCATTTGCTTAGGCAAGGAAAATAGGTGGCATTTTTGTTTGAAATAGCATGAGTACCGGTTTTAAACAAAATAAATACATTACCGTTGTTATTATCATTCTAAATTTATTAACAAAAGTTTTAAACTTTAACTAGCTATAAATGAATGTATTAATTTACCAATTTGTTTTGTCGTGTAAATCATTTTTAAGTTTCTAAAACGTGTTGTAGTATAAGTATCAAATTTATAGGTTCTATATAGAGAATAATTATATATAATACAAAACTTTTGTTTTTAAAGGTAAAATTTATTATTTTAAGGCTTTTTGTTCTTTTATGGCTTTAAAACGGACCACTTGAGTAAATTGCTAACATTGGAAAATTGGGAAACTTAAAAAAAAAAATTAAAAATCAAAAACTAAAACCAATTGCCACTTGAAATTTATAAGAAAAATCGAGCTCTTTTAGAGGACGAAGCCTATTGATTTTGAAAAACATTGTTTTAAAATTGGGGGATTGAAACTTAAAAAAAAAATCATAAATCAAAAACGAAAAACAATATAAACTTGAAATTTTCAGAAAAATCAAGATCTATAGGCG